ACACAACCCTCACCCAGGGCGTATGGGAGGCTCTGGGTGTGTTCACTTGTTGGTATAAGGACAATGCTATCATCCTGTGTCCTTGCCTCCAACAGAATAAGCTGTAATGGTAGCTGGTAGGGAGGGGCCACATACTGCTCAGAGAGAGAGGGTAACAGTGGAACTGTTAAAAAGAGTGAATATTCACACTACATATTGAAAGGCCAGCTTGTTTCAGTCATTTAGCTCATCTCAGTAACACAGGAGGAAGTGTCATTGAGAGCAGATGACGTGTTTGCACATGTTGAGCAGATAAACAGCCAGATATTTGAACAGTAGGGGTTGCTTATAATGTACTGTGGCTCTGAGAACAATACGGGTTTCTTCATCTTGAGCTTTGGCAAAGGCATTCCCTGGCACAGCACAAGCTTTCTCCAACAACAATATTCCATTAGCTCCTTACAGTCACAGAGTGAGCTGACTGTTTGTGTGCTCTGAACTCACTGGGCAGGTTACATGAGGGGGTAGATAAAGCTTATTATGAAAAATCCCAATGATCCCTTAACATGGCCTCATGTTTAGTTTCCACGTAAATCCAGTTTATTTAGTAGTCAAACTAATTGCTGTTCATTCCTGGCATCATCATTTATTACCATTGTGTCTTGAGCAATATCATGCTTACATGTAAATGTATCTGTGGTTAAGTGCAAAAATAAAAAAGCTTACCCATATTTGAGTGCCTTTTGAATATGCACTTTTCTTTTACAAATGTCCATAGAAACTGCGGAAAGCACCTCCTGTGTGAGAGAAGTGGCAGAAGCATGCAGGCCCTGGGTCTGTGTTGCCACAGGGCAAAGTAGATCCCCGGATTTCATCATTGTTTATTGTCTTTATTAGGAAATACTCTCCCTGAAATAATAAAACTTGGTAGGGGGAAAAGTAATTGTATTGTTTTTTTTAATGCAGTAACAAGGCTTTGGTTGTTATTGCCTAGGTCTTGCTCAAATTTTCTTCTTACAAATGTACATGCAAAAAAAGGTTTCAAATCAAAGTTTTACTACATTATTTGTCAGTAAACTTGATCAACACATCTCACTAATTTCCCTTCCTTTATTTGTGGTCTGTTCTCACACTCGTAGGAAGTCCCTGTTGTACTGGAGTGGGTATGCTTTGGTCTTTAACCAGTTTTTTGTATACCTAACAATTGTTATGCAAAGCAAAATAAGCATAGATACGAACAGGAAAACCCCTCTGCATGCTGTGCCTTCAAATGTGTGCTCAATGGAGAACTGAATTATCGGAGTCCTGCGCATGTAGGCAAGATTAGCATTATAAAATGCAGAATTTCACTGTTCAAGTGAAGTGTCATGTGATAGACATTTTCCCCCTGAATTGTCAAGGCCCTGACTGATAAGACCCAATCTGTCCTTCCAATGGAAAAGCAAAAACAGCATTTGCAAACATGGTGACTTTAAACGTTCTTAAAGTCCATTGGTGTGGAAGCTAGGCGTAAACGTAGCAAGAGTTTTGAGTTTTAAACTAAGATGTGGATTGTAGCTTGTAGATGTAGCTAACCTTGCAGTCCATCTGAACACAAGAGGCCTGTTTGCATGTGTTTTTGAGATTGAGTTGCCAGTTCATACAGGGCTGTGGCGCAGTTGGCTATTGCGATCAACAGATCAGGGGCGCTGGGAAACCGTCTTGACTCCCACTGCAGTCAACGTGGGAGTCTCATTTGCTCCTGTGGGTATTGTCCACAGTACTGATGTATTACATTTCTGGTATATGTAATATGCAATGTAAAGCGCTTTGAGCACTTGGAAAAGCGCTAAATAAATATAATTTATTATTATTATACAATACGAACTCATTGTCCTTTGAGTTCACTGGCCACGACTTAACATTTCTGCATGAACCAAAGTGGATCTGGCTTGATCAGCTTTAGTTTTTGTGGGGGCAGGGTAGTTGGTAGATTCACACTGTGTCAGAGGTGACATCTGGACTTCAAGCCATTACTATTAGCATACAGATGTTGCCCCCGTTACCTGGGGGTGGGACAGCCATGCTGTCTTAGTGATCAAACAGGTACAGGGTTGTAATTAGTACCCCAGTTCCCCCCTGGACAGGCCACAGGGCTTGGGGGACGGACTGATTGTTCTATGTAATGCTTGAGCTCCAAAAAGAGCCACCTCGCTGCCTTGCAGTTTGAAGTCGTTACCTCCTCTGCAGGTGGACGCAGGAGATGTATGGTGTTCTTTGCACCTCAGGGCACAGGAACGCCTCTGTTTGGAGAAACACATGTCACTCAGCCTCAGCTTGACCTCAGTTGTAAATGGAATACATGTCTACAGCGTTATTGGAACATTATTAGTTGCAGTTCTATATAAGTTTTAGGTCTACATTAAATGTGACAGAATGGAATTCATATTCTAGAAAGCGGTATAGATTCTCAGTTATTCTTTATATATCATTTTATTTTTTGCCTCTTGATGCTGAGCACACATTTCTGTGGTGTTTTTACACCACACTGTGCATATAAGTGGAACAGTGGGGGGAGGGGGTTTGCAATCATTAGCTCATAAAATATATAAAATAATATATCAACTCTAGGTATCCTAATTTTGAAATGTATGTTTCTGTCTGCCACACAGAGGCCCTGCTCATTTGGATGTGCTGGTCCATGTACATCCTTACCTGGTTTACACACACTGATAAGAGCTCATGGCGCTCTACTTCAAAGGGAGACTTTCTTTTTGGAGAAGAGGGTTGTTTAGGGCAGGGACTGAGGGGCAGATTATAGGGTTGAATATACATATTCACTTTCAGATGTGGAGTGTGTGTGTCGAAATACTTGTCTCTGAACTTTCCTACACCCAGTTCCTGCTGTTCCTCCAGTTTCCTTGGGCGGCACTCACTAAATGGTAGCTCAATAGACCACCATGACTCCACAAGTATGTTGCTTCCAACCACAGTTATAATTATCTTCAACAACAAAAAATAGACCAATATTGAGTAGTTTTTCCTCTTGCTTTTCTGGAAGGTTTTCATTTTGGCTTTTGCCTTGATGTTAGAAAGCAGTTGATGCTGTGAAGCCGCCCATGGTGTGCCTGTCTCTAAGCAAACAGGTAGTAAGGCTGCAGCTGTAACAGTAAGTATTGTAGTGGGGAGTAACCACAGTGTTTCAGCAGCTTATGTGGGGTCACACTTTGAATTGAATTGTATTCATATTATATTTGCAGGGTTGAATTAACCAGTTATTCCATTTGATTGCTGATGAATTCAGTCTTTGTCCAAAACCTTTAAAAAGGAAAAGGA